AAATTTAGAAATATCATGATACTATGGATTGCTAATGGAGCCAGAACCGGAAACTATTCTCTGTTGATTTCTGTTGATTGTTTTTACGGTGTAAATGCATGATAGTGCTTCATTGAGTTATTTTATATCTTTGAATGCATGTAATGTTATTTTACGTATTTACGGTTGAATTGAAAAAATGGAGGTTAAAGGTAAACGGAAAACTTGTGTGATTAAGTGACTGGATGAAACGGCAGCCTTACTGGACATTCCGGGAGATGGTGGACGGACCGGGTACACAGGGAACCCTATCGTGAACGTGTCTCATACCAAATGGGGTATGGAGACTTGGTAACTTGGCGGTCATATTGGACGGAGTATGGGGACGGCTTGCTTCACCCTCATACTAGACGGGGTATTGAGGTTTGGTAATTTAGTACTCATATCGAACAGGGTATGAGGACGGCCCGTAATTAGGAATGTTAAAGGAAAACGTTCACGCGTAGCGATGTCACCCCTATGAACCCCCATGGATACCAGCAGACTGGTGGAAAAAGGGACAATTGTTGTTTGATGATTTGAATATGAAAGAGACAATTGTCACCCCTATGAACCTCCATTAGTTGTTTTCTGGTTTTTTTCTACCAACCTTCATTTCTGTGTCGATGATATACTGTGATATTCGTACTGAGTTAGTGTAGCTCATCCCTTATTTAACTATTTCAGATTAAAAAAATCAGGATTCAGACTCCGATCTTCAAGAGGGTTGCGAGTAGAATACTGGTTTTTTTTTTATTTTCCTTTAATTTTCTTATTTTTTTGTATTTCTTTTAAAAGAGTAAATTCCGTAACACTAATTGATACTTTAAGTTATTAAATAAGGAATGTAAACCTTGAACATTTATTTCGCTTCCCCACTTTAATTGTCATTTATTTTCTTTGAATATTTTTGGGTCGTTACAGTTTATTTTCAGCAAGTTTGGCTTTTCATGGAGTTCTTCAATTTGAGCCACCTTTTGGCTATCCATTATCGGGGCCTTTCCTTTGTTTTTGGCCAATTTGGACACTGAAGATGCAATTCCACAAAGTTCAACCTGCTCTGATACTAAGTTGTTAGGATTCTGGTTCATGGATCACGGGATCTGGCCCTTATAGAAGCTCGGGAACAATGGGGATTAAGAATGTAGATTGAGCAGGAGAAGGAAGAGAGGATAAGAGAGAGATAAGGAGAGAATAGAGGAGAGAAGAATTCAGAACGTGGAGTTTGGAAATGCTAGATATTTTCATTAGTAGTTCTGGTACAGGGTACAGAATTATATAGGACTAGCACCAGCTGGCTGTACAATTGCCAGACCATGTATAACAGCTCTGTCAGATTGTGCACAGTGCTGCTAATACAAAGAACTTCCGGAAAAAAGGATTCTCGCATAACTGCCAATAAACCATAATTAACTTTCCTTATTCAGCTCTAATCCAACTAACTGACATTTGTTTCTCCGCCATTCATGACTTCTGTTGTGTGGTAGTCTTCTGAATTAAAGTTGTCCAAGTCACATTAATTTTTTGACTACAGAACTTTGTTGCTTCTCAGTATTACAATTTTTTTTAATCTTATTTGTTTAAGTTTAATAAATATTTATCGTTATGTTTGCTTCAATATGATAAGTCATTACAGTATCTTTGAAAAGAAACTATTATAATAGTTTCCCAGTGCATATTGTGTAAGTAGTATTGGAACACCAAATATGTCTAAGTATATATATGTCTAAGTATATTATTTCAAAAAAAATATATGTCTAAGTATTGGTTTTTTCTTTTTGATGCAGGATAACTATAGTTCTCATCATCTTCCTGTGAAATTCACAAACATGCTCAAAATCCTCCTGTTCCGGTGAGACAGTTTTTGATTCAATAACTCTTTTTCTCTAACATTTCCTGCCATTTTCCCAAGAAAATCCAATGGCAACAAGGCTTGCCCTATCTCTCAGATCTCAATTGGTCAGAACCCTGCACCCCAACCCAGGTATCCTCTCCAACATAAAATCTTCTCCATTGATCTTCTCACAAATTTCCCACCTTCCTCCAGATCCTATAAAAAACTCCGCATTAACACTACTTCGGTCCTTTTCTATTGCCCGGCGCCACCCAACTAGGCCAAAACGTATAGACATTGGGGCTCGGGCCCGCCAACTTCAGACCCGCCATCTCTGGACGTACGCATTGACTTTCAGTTTTATTGCTGGTTTTGTGGTGATCGTGCTCAATCAATTTCAAGACCAACTGGTATTCTATGTGACCCCAACTGATGCCCTTGAGAAATACAAGGCAAACCCAACAAAGACCAAGTTCAGGCTTGGTGGATTGGTCCTTGAAGGCAGTGTAGCACAGCCTGCATCATCTCCGGAGATGGAGTTTGTGATCACTGACTTAGTCACTGATATCTTGGTAAGGTACCAGGGGTCCTTGCCCGATCTATTCAGGGAGGGCCATTCCGTGGTGGTTGAAGGGTTTGTAAAACCATTCACAAACGAAATAAAGAATGGAGCCTCGAGGAAGAGCGTTTCTGGCAAGGCAAGGAGTGGAGATTGCTATTTCTCTGCAACAGAGGTTCTTGCTAAGCATGATGAAAAATATATGCCTCAAGAGGTAGCAGCAGCAATTGAGAAGAACAAGAAGTTGATTCAGGGGAGCGAGGAAGGACAAGGAGCAAAGGAATCACCATAGACTGATGGGTATAGTTTATTTCTTCTGAGATTCCACCAACTTTCGGGTAAATGGGTAACTTGATTCTTGCTATTAGATATCTGACTAGAAGAGTAAATGGATTATAAGTCAGATTGGTCTGGGTGATATGTAGATAGAGAAGTTCTTATAGTAGCGGTTAATTGCTTGAGCCATTTGATTCATATCTATTCTTGTTGGAAAGCCACTTGAGTGGTTATATAATTGTGTACTTGCTACTATACATTCTTTACTTGACAAATGTGTCATTATTTATTTAGCCACTGTCCTGCTCAGGACATGCTTGAGTTAAAAAATGACTATTGAATAGTTATTCAATAGTTCGGGATTGGTTTCATAGTTGTTGAGATGAAAGTATATGGTTCTGGACATTAATTTCCTCATATACCATACTTTCTCTCGTTGTTTCACCCGATAATAAGCCCTGTAATATATAAAAAAAAAAAAATATTTACCGTTTTGTTTATCTGTTTTTCAGAATTCTCTTCTGCGGATTCTCTGTGTGGTTTTCAGAATTCTTTCCTTGTCTTTATGTGATCCTTAACCAGTTTTCTGTATTCTGGGAGCTAGTTTATGGAATTTCTTAATAGCAAGATGGAAATCAGACGCCATTGTTTATATATCTTTGGATGAGTTTATTACTTAAATGCTTTTAGTTTGCGCTTGACTATTCAACACCCATCACCAGCATGCTAATTGGTATGCTAAAGATGCATCCTTCTTGATAATCTTGTTCTACGAAATTATTGTTCTTATTGACGCAAACTGTTTCCGATCACAAAGTCAGAAATTATGATTTCTACTTCGAACTGTTGAAATGGTTTTCCGATTGATTTATTTTTTCTCTTTTAACATTTTGATTACGAGAACCATGCTTGTGATTCATGTTTAACAAACTGGCAATAGTATAATTTTTTAACATTATGTTGAGTCAATCTGATTCTATCACTGGTTAAGAATCACATCAAAACTTGTTTGAAGTCATCCAAATCGTAAATTTTGAAAGGCCACGTGCCATTATGAGACAAGACAGACAAGTCAAATTTGTATTCTTATATATACGAGTTTGAGTCTCTTACTCAATTTGAGCTTAACAAATGATCAAATTTCTCCTTCTTAAATAAAAATTTATTGCAATTATTATAATTTTTAAGCACGTATAATCCTTTTTGAGTTTCTTGGTTGTACTTAAGAAAACAGTTCATTATTTAATTAAAAAAAAAAAATTGAATTAATGGGTAATTACAAATTTACAAGTTACTCTAATTTATAAATTTAGTATATGAATTTTACGCAAGAAATTAAATTATAACTAGTATTGTATTTGAACTGAAAAGATCTATATATGACATAGTTTTTTTGTTATGTAATTTACTTGATTTTATTGAACTTATATATCTTCTAATTTTTTTATTTTTTATTTTTAGTGTAATGAAAATATTTTAAGCCCTTGTCAAATTTGAGTAAATTGGCAAACCGTATACGTACCCAGCAGTTACCCCGGATTGCTCTGCTCCAAAATTAGGCTGAATCAGAATTTAATTCTTTTGGGGTTAAATTGGGTCAATTATTGATACATAATTACTTGGACCCATATATGCAA